GCAAAAGAACCTACGCACCCCAATGTGCATAGCAGCACAATTTACAATAGCCAAGTGCGGGAAGCAACCTAGGTGCCCATCAGTAAATGAATGGATCCAAAAACTGTGGTACATTTACACAATGGAATTCTATGCAGCAGAAAGAAAGAAGGAGCTCCTACCCTTTGCAACAGCATGGATAGAACCAGAAAGCATTATGCTAACTGAAATAAAACAGGTGGTGAGAGACAAATACCATATGATCTTACCTTTAACAAGTACCTAATCACCAAAAGAAAAAAGCAAGCAAAATATAACCAGAGACATTGAAAGAACAATCTGACAGAAACCTGAGGGGAGGTAGGAGGGAATAATGGGGGAAAAAGACGATGGGTTTTCAGGAAGAACTATAAAGGACAAGTGGACAAAACCAAGGCTGGTGGAATTGGGAGGGATGTGGAGATGGCTAGGGTAGTGGAGAGAGGTGGGGGAAATGGCAAAAAAAAAAAAACTATACTTGAACAACAATACAATTTTAAAAAGTGGAAAAAAAATAATTTAAAGGCCAAAAATCCATAACATTATAAATTCAGTTAAAATAAAAATTTTCTCTGTGCCTTGAGCATAGCTTTCTATATTAGGTTTCAAAAAAAACTTCATCCATAAAAAGCCAGAGAGTAAATATTTTAGGTTTTGCAGTACAAATTTGGTTGGTTGCATATTCTCCAATTTTATTAGAACTCTTTTTAAATATAAAAACCATTCTTCTTGTGTAACAAGTCACATTGGATTGTGCCCACAAGTTCTATTTTGCCAAGCCCTGATCTATACCTTATTCCCAAACATATATATATGTATACACACACACACAAACATTTTTCTTCTATTCTGCCTTTCTTTCTATTTGGAGAATAGAAAGAAACATATCAGTCTTGTCCATTGTGATATATGTCTGTGTAAACAAAAATGAATTTAATGGACATTCAGTAAAGCTGCACAGCACCTGAAGACCCTCCCATCTTGGCTGCCTCCAATGTGCGGGTGCCTTAAGGGAACAGATACTCTCTTCATTCTCTTAAAAGCTAAGACATTGTCATATAACCTAGCTTCAGCTAATTTAAAACTTTCTCCCTGAATTTTTACTTTCTAAGGAATGATCCAAAAGCATAGGACAACGGAGAGGTGACGGCACTGCAGCAGAATGACAGGATGATGTGTAGCTAGTAATAACAAACAAATGTAAGCACCCTGAGCAAACTGATTGTCAGGTGTAGTCTTGGCTCTGCATTGCCTCTCATTACTTCTCATCTCTCCAGCCCAAGTACTGCCGCTTCCTGGATATTCTGTGAGCTTCACTGATAAACCTCCAACAAATGCTATCTCTGACTAAATCATTTAAAGTTAGCTTCTGTTGTTTGCAGGTAAGAACTCTAGACACAAAATAATCTATAATTTTCCAAATTTTATGCTTTAATTATTTCATGAAAGAAGTTATAACTAACAAGCTACTCATCAACACGCAACTAGAAAACTACCACAAGCATGTTATAATCCCCCTATCTGAGACTGAGGCTACCTACTGGGCCTACTATATAAATTTAAAGAGTTTTGAGAGATATTCCACTAGTAAGTTATGATGCATTACTTAGTTTTATTCTAATTATAATTTGTATTAAACATCTAAATATAGTGCTCCCTCTTCTTTTTATCCACCTTTTCTTTGTACTAATCCTCAATTTGTCTCTATTAGGGTATCTATGAAGTAATTATACTTACCTCTCATAACTGCTAGGAAGATTAAATGATTATACTTAAAACAAATTTAAAACTTTAAACATGCTAAAAGTATATTGCAGTAAAAATAATGTAACAATAAAGTCATTATGTTATTTTTATAACTTACAGTACCATTATTTATAATAACATGTTCTATTAAATACTGTTATATATGTGAAAATAAGAATTCCATAGAATGTAATCAGGCAGTGACTCTAAATACTTCAGTCACTTTGTAGCTTCAGAATCTAGAGAGTACCAAACCCAGAGTAGGCACTCAATACTTTTGTATCATTTTATTTTATTTTATTTCATTTCAGTTCATTTTGTAAAAACCCTCACCTGAAGACATGTTCATTGACTTTAGAGGAAGTAGGAGCCCAGATGTGAGACTGGAACAGCAACCAGACACCTCCCGTCAAGTACCGCCACTGGAGGTGGGACCCACTGCCTAGGCACCTGCCCTGACCGGGGATGGAACCCACGACCCTTTGGTGAACCGGACAATGCTCCAAGCAACTGAGCAACCCAACCAGAACTCAACAAATATTGCTAAAATGAACTCACTATAAAAATTAATACTTGATATTCCACCCTGTAACATGCCCATGAGACACATAAGGTACATTTGTATAATTTTATAATTTGTGCATGAAATTTCATAAGGGAGTATTATTTCCCTTGCAACATAGCAAATGTTAGCAGAATAATAAAAATGTTTTATTTATCTCTGATAGGTAAGATATAGACTTGAGTCCTGAATTTATAATTTAATATTGTTACAGCCTTAGGCAAGTTATTTATAGAATTGTTTACATGATTTACAATCACATAAATTCAGCAGTTTAAGTGAACAAATTACAAGCCAGGTGCAAAACATCTGGGCATGGGAGACAGTTGTTGTGTGGTTAGTAATAGACATAAGAGGACTAATCGCTTAGACCTTTAGGTTGTGGGAATCCACAGGCACCTCTCAGGGCAGCTTTGCATCTTTCTCAGTTCTTTCTGTTTTTGCTTTCCCATAAATGAACCCAGAAATACTGTTCTGATTCTAGCTTCTACAATCCCTCCATTTATCCATGTACTTATCTCTTAAGCAAACAGAGATAGCGAGTGTGCAGTACAGCTGGAGATACAATTACACAGGAAACTCAACTACAATGCAGTATGTTAAGTGCTTGTGACAGTAAAAGTATGTGACGCACATCGAAGGGCCAAATATCTGTCATTTTCCCTTAGCAAACTGGGAGTGATTGCAGGATTTTAAGTTGGTGAATACAATTAGATTTATATTTTGAAAGGATTACTCTGTGGGTACCATGGTAAACGTAATTGCAAGGGAGCAAGAAATCCAAGGAAAATGTTTCCCGTGGAGTCAAATAATGCAGAAAACACAAGACATAACAACAATGACAAAGGTGATATTAAAAATAGCTAATAAGCATGTAATATGCATGTTTGCCAGGTGTTGTGTGCTCTGTATTCCTGATCTCAGCTCCTGCATGCAAACAATGAAGCAAGTACTACTAGTAGTTCCAGCCCTCTACCATTGAACGTATGAAGAAACGCAGGCTCAGAGTAGTTAAGTAATGCCTAATGGAACAGCACTTTACAGAGAAATAATTCAAATTTTTCTGTCTTGAAGTACTGTGATATATTTTTATTACTGACATCTCTGCCCACAAATCTCATTCAAATTCTGTTCATTCATGCTGAATTTTCAGGTATTATTTCCATGCTCAAGGTTTTTTTATCTCATGTAACATGTATCACAGGAAATCTTAACTCTGTGAGCAAAAAACTCAATCCTAAGAGCATAAATTGAAGACAAAGTCCCTTTAATTAGATGTTTATTTCATACAAAATTCACTCTGAATTCAAAGAAACATATGAGACAGAAATAATATTTTAAATAAATATACACCTATCAGCAGCTGCCTAGACCTCATCCACATCTTTTTTTTTAAAGATTTTATTTACTTAGTGTTTAGAGAGGGGAAGGGAAGGGAGAAAAAGAGGGGAGAAACAGTGCTGTGTGGTTGCCTCTCACGAGTTCCCTACTGGGGACCTGGCCCGCAATACAGGCATGTGCCCTGGACTGGGAATCAAACTGGCAACCCTTTGGTTCACAGGCTGGCACTCAGTCCACTGAGCCACACCAACTGGGGGCCCACATATTTTATTCCTAATAATTTCTCTTCTCCCAATTGTGAGCCCACTTTTTCTCATACTTTGACCTTGGTTTAAAAAGTATATATGGAACCTCTTTTTCCATATATACTTCAGTCACTGTGTTATGGCCAGTCTGGCTCCTTGGGCCTCATCCTTATCTCCCTTTACCAGGGCTACTGCCATCTATGATTTAGCCACACAGGCTAACTTGTGAGAACATTCTCTAATTAGTTCTCACAGGCTAATTTGTGAGAATATTCTCTCTGCCTCCCACAGAACGCTGGGTATCATTTCAGTGAAACTTTTTAGTCCGGCTTCCTAGGCAAATGCCCATTGTCCATTTCTAGATCTATTTTAGTCCTAACTATATTTCAGAGCCAAATTTCATTTCTACTTTCTGAGCTCTATCATTCTGCATCTGAAAATAAGCTATATAAAAATGTTAATTTACTTTTTCACACATTTGCTATTTGGCATGACTAATACACGTAAATTGATGTCAGAGTATCCTATCTTGTCTCACCAAGTTCAGTGTTCAGAGATTCTGCCAAGAAAAGTGTTTCTCTATTTGCAAATATCAACTACTGGAAAGAAATGCAAGGACTAAAGAGAGAGAAAAAGACATTTAACCAAAAAATAATGTACATTGATATGGTAGTAGATGTTTCACAAAAATTATCTTTACATCCAAACAAAATATAAAATCCTCACACTTCTTTCATGGCTTCTATTTCTATTTCATCTCATTACATGAGAGGAATTCAATATATGTTTCTGACTGGTGTTTATAAATTTAATAGAAAAACTATAATAATTACTCAAACAGTGATTAATGAAAACTTTATTAGTTATATACGGTCAATTTAAAAGAAAAAATAAAAGTGATAAGTTTTTATTATACCAACTATTATAAGATATTACTACAGAGTCTGTGGTGTTTTCCTTAAAACTAGTTCAAGTCATCTATAATATACCATTTTGAAAGGGAATGCAAAAATATGTATTATTGGAGCAATGCTTATCACTCATTTTCCTTATTTTAATATTCAAATAGTAAAGAAAATGAAACATACCTGAAATATTTTCTAGCTAGGAAACCACGTATCCATCTTTGAATAATCAAAACTGGTGAATTATGAGCCATAATTTTATTAATTTTTGAAATGATATATTTGATATTATTAATTTCATCCATATAGGTTGATCCCTGTATATAGAAAATGTGTGATATTTATATTTCATGAAAGTATTTCTAAGTACATTTTAACTTGAAAGTCTAACAGTAAAAACTACTAAAACATTCATAGGTGCCTTAAAGGCATAGCAGTTGCATAATATACATTTTTATATATATTTGATTAGAACAGAAGATCAAGAATTAGCAGCACCAAATAATTTCAATTTTCTCATAAAATGCAAGATACGAGATGATAACTTTTTCCATTCTAGAGTCTTCTCCAAATTTGGTATCATAGATATAAATTTCAACCATAGTCATGATGATCATTGAAATGCAGTGACATGAATAGGTATCCAAAGAAACTAAAAGCATTCTGTAGATCCCCACCAAGGAAGCTGATATGTCGTATTCATAAAGTAAAGTAGTTCAAAAGTTTGTTGCACCTTAACTACAATGTTGGGTCCTTACTGGAACACAGCACATTGCCCTGAGAAAAGATATTCTCTGTTGTCTTTAAATAAATTATCTCTATGATCTTTGTTCCTGCAAATGTTTAGATTTGGAAACAGACTCCCTACATCGTACTGTTCATTTGACAGGTTAGTAAAAAAGCCACTTCAGTTATGTTTTGGATGTAAGGATTATATCTTAAAAACCTAAAATTTGCATTGTTTAAAGTACAGATAGCAAACACAAGGCCCCCAGGCCCAAATGGCCCTCTACCTTGTTTTATCAGGCTCAGCACCTTGTTTCTACCTGGTGGCAGCGCTGAGCTCCTTGCTCCTAGTTAAGGAAGTTACATTTATACAGTCCTAAAATTACGTTCGGCCTTTGAAGGCAAGCAGGAGGCTGACGTGGCCCCCAGCGAAAAATGAGTTTGACACCCCTGATAAAGACATCTACCCTGAAAATTACCAAACCACCATGTTAAAAAAACACTCCCATTTTCTGCCCATACCCTCAATCAACTATGTACTGCTAGGGAAGAAAAATCACAGTGTCTTGCAGATTAGTGCTATTTCATGTCACCCCAAAACATAATTGTAGGAATTCAAGATATGCCACCCCCAAATATGCTCCTTTGGTATTTTAATTATTTTGAGCGGCAGACACCTGGGAAAAAGGAAAGCACAGATGGGACTACTCTGAATTTCGCTTATCTGCCTAAAGACAGATCTTCCAAAAGGTATTCAAAATAAATAAAAACCAGAAAAGACTGTTCTTATTAAAGAAGAATAAATTAGAAGATTAGGAGAAAAGTTTAGCAGAGACAACCACACCCAGGTAAATTTTATCACTAACTCCCCTCTATTCTTCTAAGGGACCATAATTCACCTTTACTAAAAATCACTTACACTCCTGAGAAGCCTACACACCCCCTTCGCTTTCTTTGAGCATGAATTCAAAGATACTTCAGGAGTTACTCTTTTTCCCCTGGGTATCTCCTATGTACACGAGGTAGAAATTGATAAATTTGTTTTTGTCTTGTTCACGTCTTTTATCTCATGAGTCTCAGTCAATAACTCAGAAGAGTAGAGAGACAATTGTTTCTCCTCCCTGATACTAGCTTGGAAGCAAGGTGTCCAGTGCATAGGGAAAAACACAGCAGGGAGCTTGGCTGACTGGGCATAAGGGCCCCAGTCAAATGCTGCTGGTCTCACCGGCAGAGAACCATTACGTTCATGCTGCAGTGAAGCACAGAGTCCTGCCTCCCACTGTGACATGAATCATTCCTTTTCTTTAAAAAGATAAACAAAATAATCTTCACCTGTTGGCAGGGTTAGTGTCCCTGCCAGAGAACAAGTAACCTCTGGACACACCCCAGCTTTCTGATGCCCTAACACAATTATTTTGTGAAATGCCAATAAAACTATTATGGTAAACTTGAACAAATGCCATGATATTTGAAATTTGAAGACAAATAGAAATGTCCTCTTTCTAAAGGGCAAATCATGCATTTCCTCCACTAGAAAATGATGGCCTGGACTTAAATCCCAGTTCTACTACTTGCTAGCGATATGATCTAGGGTATGTAACCTATCTGTCCCTGGTTCTCCACCTGCAAAATAGGGATAACAATAGTACAGCTTCACTGGGTTGTTGTGAAAGAATATTAATAAAGAACTTAGAATAGAGGCTAAAACATTTCAAGCCTCCAAGCAAAGTTATCCACAGCAGTTTCATAGTAAAACTTAAAATAATATATAATTTTAGAGCCTGCAAAGAACTGTATACCTCACCACATTTGATACTCAAAAAGTAGTCTAAAGCAATTTACTAAGTAATTTATACAAACTTACATAATCTAAAATTATAAAAAACTATAACAGATAATTAGTAATAATATTTTCAATTTAATACAAAAAATTAAATATTACTGTAAAATTCTGACGAAGAACAACATACACTTGGGGGGAAAACTATCAACGATAAACAAAATAGATGGTAGAATAATAAAACATCTAGTGTCTACCTTTCGCTATTGTAACCCTGGAGTGAAAATGGGGCTATTGCTAACCCTGGTATAAAACATGATGAAGCATTTCAAGGGAATATTAAAACCTTTTGTAATATGACTCATATGGAAGAAAGTACTTTGGGTTCTAACAGGAAGAGTAGTTGAAAAAACAAATTGCAAAACTATATTATATTCATACTGAATATAATTATGCATATTTCCAATCAGTTTGACATTTTAAATATATTTTCACTTATTTTTTCTTTCTTTCCTTCTTCTATGCTTTAATTTCTTCTATATGTATATGATCCCTAAGTTCTATCCTTTTGTATTCTATTTGTAAGTGGACATTATCTGCAAACCCAATGACTGGTTCTACAGAATCACTTTTCTACCTGAGCAAAGAGTGCGCTCTGACTGGTTCCAGGGTTGGGGCAAAAGGGACCCTGGGGAGGTTCCCTGCCTTTCATTAACACTGAAGGCATCTCTGGCTGTGGGGACCCCTGTACTTCCCTTGGGCTTAGTTCCCTGGGACTGGGGTGGCCAGAACACAGGGAAGGCACCCACCTCCCGGGAAGCGCCACCTTGTGGGGATTAGAAAAGCCAGATAAAAGCAAGAGAGCTAAAAAACTTGTGATTTAGCACCATGTATTGGAAAATAACAAAGAAAAACCTCTTTGTATTCACCTGCTAGAGAAGCACCACTCATACACAGATGCAGAGAAGAAATCCATCAAATACCATGAATAATCAAGGTGACAAAGCAGCTCAGAAAAAAATTAAAAATTTCCATAAAATACAAACATGGAAATATGTAATATAAATGACAGAGAATTCAAGACCACTGTTCTAGAAAACCTCTACAAATGTAAGAAAATACAATCAGACAGTTAATGAACTTAAAAAACAAATCAATGAACAAAATAAGTACTCTATCAGCAAGACTGAAACTTGAACAAAGAATCAAGTAAAAATTCTGGAGATGAAGAACTCAGTAAAAGAGATTAAAAACAAACTAGCAAGCATAGAAAATAGAGCTGGCCAGACTGAGGAAAGAATTAGTAATATCAAAGGTAGAAATCTAGAAATGATGCAGAAGGAAAAAGAGACTTGAACATCAAACAAATAAACAAACAAGTAAACAAACACAAGGCCTCTACGAGACCTATGGGACTCCTTTAGAAAGAGTGATGTAAGAATAACAGGCATGCCCGGAGAAGAGAGGGAGAAGGGAGCGGAGAGCCTGTTCACAGGAATAGTTGATAAGACTTCCCAAACCTATGGAAAGAACCGGATCCTGGAATCCTACAAGCAAACAGAATGCTAATTACTTCAATCCAAACAGGCTTTTTCCTAGGCATATTTTATTAAAACATTCAAAAAATAATGACAAAGAAAGGACTCTCAAGGCAGCCATGGAAAAGAAGGAAGTCACCTATAAACAAAAGCCCACCAGGTTATCACCAGACTTCTCAGCAGAAACTCTACAAGCTGGAAGAGAGCAGAACCGAATATTCAAACTACTGAAAGAGGGAAATTACCATCCAAGGATAATATATCCAGCAAAGTTATCCTTTAAATTTGAAGGAGAAATAAACACTTTTCCAGTCATACAGAAGCTGAGGGAACTGATTAACAGAAGACCCCCCACTGCAGGAAATACTGAAAGTGGTTATTCTACCTGACAAAGAATACAAGGTCACAAAACTACAAATAAGATTGCCCGCAAGCATACAACATAAACGAGGATAATTTGTTACAAGATGGGTAGAGTTAGATGGCTTTGCTTTTTGTTCCTGACCTAAGCACATGCCTGGACATGAAGAAGCTCATTGCCTATGAGGGAAAAGGAGCATTTGCTAAATACAACAAAACAGGAAGCTAGAATAAACCCTGGTCCTTTAAATTTTCCTTAAGAAATTACACAGAAAGACTGCCTACCTCTGACCTTTTTGTCATATAACTTAAAAAAAAAACCTGTTTAGTTGGCTTTCTATTACATGCAAGCAAAACCCAATCCCAACTGATACCACTGGTTCTTCACTCAGATTACACCCATTTTCATATATATTTATATAGAGTTTCATATATATGTATATATATACATACATATTATGATTTTAAATAACTAAGCACTTCAAATTTCTAGTTACTTTGATTTCATATAATGAAGAAGAACCTGTGCTTTTCCTTTGACCCCTAAAAACAAAAGTATATAAGTCATTCAATGTCACAGTTAAGAATTAATGGGATCCTTCTAGGTAATTTTACTGTGTTATAATGCACAAGTTTTAATTACACTAATTTGTTTCTTATAGGATGAACATAGACTTCTTTAGTTTCTGCACCCCATGCTCTCTATATAAAAGAACAATAATATTTATTGAAATTATTGCATTAACTATTATAAGGTTCATTATTATTTTCTATTTTCATGATATTCTTATCGTTAACAAGTACAATAACTAAATAAATATATACCCTAATAGATTTTTATTTATTCCTTCTCAAATGTTTGTTTATATTGCTATAAATTCAATCTTTCAATATTCAAAGGAAAACCTTATAAACAGAATATTGTTTATAAACAGAAATAACAAATAGAAATGCAAAGTAAAGTAAAAACTGTTATTCAGATATATTTCTTTAACTCTCTACAACTCAGGAAAGTATTCTGCCAGAATTTGGTATATCTATATTGCTTTAAGACTTAGTCCATTTTTTTACTTTCATTCATAATTTATCATGGTTTTTACTCAATTATTGCCTTTATACTTGATAATCTTTTTTAAAATTAAAAGTTATATTCCTCAGTTAAAAAATATGTAGAAGTTATTATCATTTCACTTAAAAAATCTATTAATCTAATTTCCTACAGTCGTTCCTACATTATCTTTTCTTTGTCCAAAATTCTCTCAGAAAAGTTTCTATACTTGGCATTATAATTTCATATTTGTCCCTGCAAATTACTGAAAGTCCAAAGATTCAATAATCTCATCACCTTCAAAAAGACTTTCAAAATAGCTTTGAATCAGTGCTAATATTCCTTGACCACTTAAAGCATTTTTCATTTTTAAACCAGTCTTTTCCTTTAACCTAAGTGATAATAAAGCATAAAGATTGCCTTTGTTTTTGTCCTACTTCCTGGGATCAGCACTCTTTTCCTCTCACCAGTTCCACTGTTTTCCACCCACAAAATGAGACTGTGACCAAAGGCTGAGTCCTTAGCTTTCAGCCTGTATTGTTTTTTAAAACCCACGATACAGTGAGGCCGCAGTAAGTGAACCACGATATAGCGTGAAACAACTGTACCCAATGGATTTACATCTTAGACCCAGAACACGATTTCTGAATTTTAGTCCTTCATTTTCAAAGCCTGGTTGATATCTCTACATCAATATTCTGCCTCAAATAAACCTTTCCAAACTTTCTACCAAAACTGTTAAAATGCCACTGTTTCTGTAACTCATTTATTTTTGACCCAGTTAATCAAGTTCAAAACATTAGAGGACTATTACCTTAGTTATCCTCCCACATTCAATCAGTTTAAAAAAATCATGTCAAATCTTTGTATTCTTGATGCTTTGTGATGTAATCTAGACTGTAGCACTATAAAACTGAGACAGACTTGAAATCCCAGCTTCATGACTGACTAGACTGATATTGAATAAGTTCCTAAAACTCACTATACTTCATTTTCTTCTTTAAAATAAAAGTAATACCTTCCCAAGTCAAAGAATATAATAGAGAATAAATAAGGTATTTTTCAGAAAGCCTGCCCCATCCACCCTAGGTTCACCTTTATTTCTATGTTACCGCTTTATTTTCTTTAGAAATTAATACCATCTGGGCTTCTATGGTTGTTTTATTTTGGGGGAAAGGGTAGGGAAGTGACTTATACATTTATTTCTTGTGCCTTACCACTAAACTTAATGAAAGTAGGAACTTTGTCAGTATTATTTACTATTTAATCCAGAATAATCCCTCTCACATATTAGGTGCTCAATATATACTTGGTGAAGGAATGAATAAATAAAATATGTAAAACACTTACAACAATGGCATTTACCAAGTGTCCTCTACATTGTCTTCTTTCTTTTTTGCCACTGGCTGTCTACCTATATCAACCCTGATAACATCATTTCTGGCCTTCAGTAATGGATCTCTCTGTCCTCATCTTCCCCCTGACCCCTATTAATCTGCTAGCATAATACTGGATTAATCATGTTTCAAAAAAAATTTTGTCAATACCATTTATTCATGGAGCACCAACTATGACAGAATCAATCTAACTTTCCTACTCAAATACCTTAAATCGATCTTCATTGCATTCATTAAGAAGCGTACACTCCTTAGTATGTCATTCAAAGTTGTTTTCAATACTTTCCACCTCAGTTCCCGTTGATTCCTTAAATGAACTTCAGACATAATTGTCCTTAAACGGGTTATTTATGCATGTTCCTAAATTTGACTATACCATACAACACAACCAGAATACTTAAATTTTTCTTTTAGGCTCAGGTTAAGTCACTCAGACATAAATACTGATTTGTTTTATATTTCCCTAATTTTTAAAACTGTTACTACAAAATAATTAATACACTCAAATATTTTTAAATATCAAGAATCATGTGCAATTATAAAAGTCTTTCAACTTCCTAATCTCCATAACCAGTGTTCATTGTTTATACACTATTTCAGACATGATCACCACTTCTCAAATGATTTTCTATTTTCATCAATTGTTAATGTATTTATTTTCAGACTTATATATACTTAGAAAGTATTATAAACACTGTTCTGCAACATACTTTACTTCCTACACTTTGTACCAGACTTTTCTAACACTTGAAGAATTAACACTCTTTTGAACTTTTACATAATGTATCTGTTCTAATATTCATATATCATGAAGCATTTTTCTTATATCTATATCTATCCACCTAAGGATTTTATAACCTCTACTTAGAAAAAATTCCCAGTAACTTATTTCAATGTTTGAAAAATCAGTAGTGTGGTGACTGTGGGGTAAGGGAAGGTGGAGGTGGAAGAGGGTATGATGGGGGTAGATGGTGATGGAAAAATTAAAATGAAATAAAGCTTTGGGGATGTGGGGGAAAATCAATATAAAATGATGTTATGAACACGTCTATGTCATCAAATAAATATTTTAAGAATTGAATATTTTATTAATATAAGTTAATAATCTAAATTATCTTTTAAAGCACTGAAAAAACACTATTTCCTAGTGTATTCATTCAAATATGAAAACTTTAAAAAAGTTAAAAATCCACTTTCCATTGAAAAGACAAATATTTAGAATCAACAAAAACTTTCAGAATAAAGAATAGGAAATTAGCAGGATATAAGATTAAATAAAAACATCAAGTGTATATATATATATATATATATATATATACATATGTATATATATATACACATACACGCACACATATATATATAAGCAACAAAAATCCAAATATAAAATTAAGTAAATGATTCTATTTGTAGATCAAATAAAAATCCTAAAATATTTTAACAAAATAAGTGCAAGACTTGTACAGTGAAAACTACAAAGCATTTCTCAGAGAATTAAAGAACACCTAAATAAAGGGACAGTCCACATTTAAGAATGAGAATACTCACTATTTTAAAGATGGCAATTCTCCATAAACTGATGTATAAAATTCAATGGAATCTTTATCACTATTGCAGCAGTAATCATTGTTGAAATTGATAAGCTGATACTAAAATTCATTTGTAAATACCAGGGGCCTTGAATAGCTAAGTCAAGATTTTTTTTAAAAGGGCAAAGTTGGAGGACTCAGACTCCCTATTTCAAAACTTAACTACAAATCTACAGTAAGAAGACTGTGTGATAATATCATAAGAATCAATAAATACACCACTGGAAAAAATGAGAGTCTAGAAATAAATCTTTATATTTATGATCAATTTATTTTTGACACATGTCAAGATAATTCTCTGGGGAAAATACTCTTTTCAACAAGTGGGGTTAGTATAATTGAATAACCACATGCAAAAACAAACTTATGCCCTTACTTCACATGATGCATAAAAATTCATTCAAGGTAAAACACATAGATCTAAATTTCATAACTAAAATTATTAAATTTCTAGAAGAAAGAAAAAAATTGTGACCTGGATTTAGGTCGAGTTCTTAAAATACACCACCAAAAGCATGATACATAAAAAATTAATAAAATTGAAGCTCGTAAAACTCCAAACTTTTCTGCTTCAAAAGAGACCAATAAGAAAATGAAAAGACAAGCTATAGAATGGCAGAAAATATTCACAATCCATATATCTGATAAAGGACTTATCCAGATGTCTACTCTTACAGCTCAATAAGACAAACAACCCACTTTAGTCAGAGAAATCTCCATAGCACTTTACCCAAAAAGATAGATGAATAGTTCATAAACAGATGAAAAGATGCTTATTGGTACTTATTAGAGAAATAAAAATTAAATCCACAAATAAAATATAACTTCACACCCACTAAAATGTCTATAGCGCAAAATGCTGAAAACACTAAGAGTTTCCAAAGACATAAAGAAACTAGAACAGGACTGGACCAATGGTTTCCACTTTTTAGAAGGCAATTCAGCTTCTTAACAAGTTAAACATAAAATTATCATGCATCCCAGCAACTGCACTCCTGAGAATCTACCCAAGAAAAACAAAAACATATGTGTGATACATGCATGTAGGTGTTAATAGCAGCATTAGTCATAAGATCAAAAATTGGAAATAATCCAATGTCCATCAGTTGATGAAAAGACAAAGAAAATATAGTATATATATAATAAAATGTTATTTAGCAATCAAAAGGAACAAACCACTAATTCGTGTTAAAACAGAAATAAGCCTCATACACATCACACAAACTGAAAGCAGACGAATGGAAAAGACTACATATTGTGTGATTCCTTTACATTAAATGTCTAGAAAGCAAATTTATGGAGACAGAAAACAGATCAATGTTACCTAGGATTGCGGGGGAGTAGGGATCAACTGCAAATGGGCATGACGGAAACTTTGGGAGTGGTGACAACTTCTGACATTGTTTTGGAGATGGTTATATAGCACATTTATTTATTAAATCATATATTACATTAAATCATATATGCAAAATGGGGGAACTTTATAATATGTAAGCTACATATCCTTACAGATACTAAAACATTATATATATAGATACACATATATACATACACGCACATATGTATGTATTTGTTTCTCTATAATTTAGTACTTTTCTACTCAATAATTATTTTGTAGTAAATATACAAACTTTTTAATAAATTTCAGATAGAACACATTATTAATATACTGACTAGTATAAAATATCTTACATGAATGGTGCAGGTATTAGCTTTATATAATTTACATACAGATGGACATTCGAAGCTAAAATTTCATTTCTATAAATTTACTTAAAACAAATTCTAATAAAACCATTTACCTTTTTCAAAGCAGGGCAGAAATTAAAGAAAAGCCGCTGGTTATATGTTTTGAATCTTTCAGGAAGATGCCAGGTCTGAATTATTTCTTCATCAGAAATCACATGACGATCCAAGGCTTTGAGACTACGTACACTGTTGACAAGGGTCTGTCTATATGCTTTGTTAAGGCTTACTGGGCAATCAAACATGGTGAGGGCAACGAGGCTCGGACAGGCGGATAACGTGCACACATTCTTCAAGTTTGCAAACCCATTATTGTGGAGATAGAGAAGTTTTAGGTTTTTTAGTCTACTCCAAAACTTGTCATCTGGTAGACTCTTTACCTAAAATATTATTAATAATAGTATATTAAATACAAATATAAAATTTCTATTGATTGCATGGAAAATAAAATATATTAAACATCTTTTTAAATTTTGTATTTTCCCAAATGAAAAATTTCTCACTAGTAAAAACAAACATAATTTCTAGTTACTAAAATGATGACTAGTGTAAAAAACACAACAACACCTGACATCTAAAATAAGCTACCATTATTAGAGTAATTAAATGAATAAACATATATACTTCATTCAGTAAAAATTCCTTAGGAATAGGCTGACTCTTTAAAATTCTCTAAAGTAGAAAAGTTTACGTACATAATTAAAAGTCAAATCAAACAATATGATAACAGCACACTAATTAAATACAAGATAAAAATCATATTATCCTCTCAATGGAGGCAGAAAAAGCACTTGACAAATTCTGTATCCAATTATGATAAAAACTATAAAAAGTGGATATAGAAGAAAATATCTCAACATAATAAAGGCCAAATATGATATAAGCCCACAGTTATCATACTCGGTGGTGAAAATTTGAAAATTTCTCCAAGATCAGGAACAAGAGAGGAAGCCCACTCTAGCCTCTTTTATTCAATATATTATTGGAAGTCCAAACCAAGAAATTAAGGAAGAAAAAGAAATAAAAGGCATCCAAATTGGAAAGGAAGAAGTAAAGCTGTAACCATATACAGGTAACACCAAATAGTATTATACAGGAAAAAAAACAGAAAGTCTCCACCAAAATATTATTAAAACTAATAAATGAATTAAACAAAATTGCAGAATACAGTATCAGTATGTAAAAATCTGTTGTATCTCCATACAATGATAACAAACTATCATAACAAAAAATTTTTTAAATCCTATTTATGGGTTTTTACACCAAAAAATACCTAGGAATATTCTTAATGAAGAAGGTGAAATACCTTTACACTGAAAACTATAAGACATTATAAAAGAATTAAAGAAGATATAAATGAATGAAAATATATTCTTTATTCAAGGATTGAAAGAATATTATTCAAAATATCCATACTAACCAAAACATTCTATAGAATCCATGCAATTCCTATAAAAAATTCCAGTGGCATTTTCACAGAAATAAAACAATTGTAAAATTTGGAAAAAACCTAAATAGCCAAAGAAATTTAGAGAGAACAAAGCTTGAGGCACCATATTCCCTCATTTCAAACTATATTTGAAAGCTATAGTAATTATATGGTATTGACATTAAACCAGATAGTTCAATGGAACAGAATACAGAGCTCAGAAATAAATGCACATGTATATGGTCATTTGATTTGCAACAAAGGAGCCAAGAATATACAAGACGGAAAGGACAGTCTCATCAATAAACAATGTTGGGGAAATTGGACAGACACATGCCAAAGAATAAAACATGGGACAATATCATATATTACATCCCAAAATGGATTAGACCCTTGAATAGAAGACCTAGAACCATAAAAATTCTAGCAGAAAAGATAGGCAGAGAGCTTCCTGTAATAGTTCTTAGTGATGTTGGTGATATGTATTTTTAATACAAAAACAAGAAAATAAGGCAACAAAAACAAAAAATAAACAAGTGAAATGAAATAAAAGCTCTCCATAGCAAAGGAAACCATCACTAAAATGCAATGGCAACTGACCAAATGGAAGAAAATATTTGAAAATTATATGTCTGCTGTGTAACAATGTGGTGACAAACGTTAAGTGGAACATCGTGATCATTTCACAATATGGACAAATATTGAGTCACCATGTTGTACAATGAAACTAATATAATGTTATACATCCATTACATGTCATCTAAAAAATAATTAAGAAGAAGTATTCTTAGTCCAGACTATGGATTTAAGAAATAAAACAAATCACTGAGTTTATTTATGTGTTTTTCATTTAAAATGTTTGATTATATTTGAAATTTTATTTTTGCATTTTGATTTTATTTAAGTTTTTGTTTATATTTATTTGAAAGGCCATCCATGAGATATATTGTAAATAAATAGTGCTTATTAAACATAATTGAATTTATATGAAAATGTCTGAAATGGCTATTGCTCACCTGATTTCCATGGAGATCAAGTTTGACTAATTTTATACAACTCTGAAGTGCACTGATATCTGTAATAAAGTTGTTTGAGAAGATGCATACTCTGAGAGAGATGCAAGGTCGCAAATTTTCCATAGATTTTAAATGAAGACCATTGAACTTCACAAAAACAAAATCTTTCTGATCTTCTATTATGTTTTGATTATAGTGACTCCATTCTTCATGACTGATTAGCTCTTCTGTGATAGTTCCATGAAACATCTAGAAAAAATGGTAAATTCCTTTTAAAAGTTTTTTCAACTTCCAAAAATAACACTATATGAAAACAAAACATTTGCTAATAGATAGTGAGAGTAAAAATGGGTAGAAACTAAGTTATTTTTTAAAAATCTAATTCCCATAAAATCTATCTCAGGGCATAACATTTATATAACAACTCAAAAATATATTGTTGCCCTCACCAATAAATTAACCAGTAAGAGGAAGAAATACTTCCTTTTCCCCCAAATATTTAGAGAAAATGGAATTCATTTTCTCAGGTATACAGTTGAATAGTTGATACTAAAATATCACATCTTAACAAGACAACTAAAACAAACAAATAAGGAAAAGTACACCTTAGCATACCTCGTATAATAATTTTTGTTAAAAGATCTTTTAAATAAAGAAACGTTTTTAATTATTAACTCCTAAGTCCAAAAAGCGGTACTTTTTGTTGAAGGGGCTAAAAACATTCAGCTAAGTAAACTTTCAGGGCAATGCAGGGTTTCAACTGTAACAAATATTTATTTTCTAAAGAGATCATTAGCAATCTCCTTATATATGGTGGGGCAAAAGTAGGTTTACAGTTGTCCATTTGGAAAATAATATAATAATTAATAAATAATGATGAGAATAAACTCTGTTTCACTTTATCAAAACTGTAAACCTACTTTGCCCCATGCTACATTTGTTTAATTCTATTAAGCAATTAAAACCTACAATTCTAATTGTTTCAAATTTGACTAAGTTTATCTAAAACTTCTGGTTCAGTGCTTTTTGGTGTAATTTCATACAGTATTTCTTATATATATGAAATTTCCCTTACTGTGGGTAATTTCAGCTTTCATAAAAGGCAGTCAGTAACCCAGTGATAGTTTAGGAGAGAATACACGGGCTCAAGTGACCAATCTGAGTGTTTGGTTAAGATTAACCACTCCCCCCCCACTGGAAAAATCTATCCTACCATGTGGAGGTAAACTGGGTCAGCAAAATCCAAATGAGCATATATGTGACAATCCAGATAAAACCTTGCACTCTATAAAAGGCTGGCTACTTTTCACATACTAGCCAAGGGCTAGAAGTATAATCCTCAAACTCTAAATATCAATCACTTAAAAAATCAATAGAGGCAGATTTCCTGGGTCTTATATCACATCTACTTTATCAGAGACTTTGGACTGGGGACCAAGGAATTTATACTCCCTCATATTCGACCTTCAACACACAATTTTCCTATTAACACAGTGTGTTAGTATGGTAGAATTGTTACAAGACATCCAATCTTATTAAAAAAAGTAAATCATGGGAAGTAATGTACAGCTTGGTGCTATAGTTAACAATAATGATTGAATATTTGAATGTTTTTAAGAGAGTAAATCTTAAAAATTCTCATGGCAACAGAAAATAATTTTGTAACTATATATGGTGACAGATGTGAATAAGACTTTTTGCAGTGATACACAAATATTAAGCATTATGTTGTACATGTAAAATAAATATGTTAGTTATACTGTAATAAAATATATAAGAAATAACAATGGATATGAAAAAGATGATGCTACACAGGAATTCATTAAATATGGTATATGATAGTAAAAATATGACATGTCCTAAATGTCTTAAAAGGTGGTATTAACTAAATGAAATATTGTGATATAGTCAATGGAAGCATTTCACACCATGAAAACATCAAAATTGATCATTTAGAATACAATAATATGAAGAGGTCTTGACAAACAAGTTATTGTTTTGTTTTAAAATATTTTTTCACTGAATTTACACTTTAAAGGAGTTTCTTTTATGGTATGTGAATGTGAATTAAGCTTCAATTAAAATACTTATTCTTAAGTGGGACAAATTTTTAAAAAATAAGTAGACTGGCTGGTGTAGCACAGTGGATTGAGCGCGGGCCTGCGAACCACAGGATCATGGTTCAATTCCCAGTCAGGGCACATTCTGGGTTGCAGGCCGGTTCCCTGCAGGCCAGTTCCCAGCAGGGGATGCACAAAAGGCAACCATACATTGATGTTTCTCTCCCTCTCTCCTTCCCCCCTTCCCCTCTAAAGATAGATAAATAAAATCTTAAAAAAAAAATAAGTAGAGAGTTCGAAGATGGCAATGGACTAGGAGGGAGCTGGACTAAGAGGGAGCAGATTCCACTTCCCCCTACACACAGGAGAAAAACCTGGCCAATCTGCGGAGGAACAGAGCAAACAGCCAACAGTACCCCAGCATATATGCAAATAAGAGACCACACTGAAAAACCAGACAGTAAGGAGACGGCTGCAGGACAGTAAGGTTCCAGGGACCACCATGGGGAAGCGGCTGTAGCCCCAGGCCCAGTGCCTGGTGCTGGATCTACCACAGACTCCTTGGGAGCAGCTGGCCTGCCACAGAGTCCTTGGGAGAGAGTCGAGTCAAATGCCCACTCCTTCCCCAGCCAAGCAGGGTTTGAGCAGCACCAGGAGAGACCTGGTTGCTTGACGTTGCAGAGAGGGGAATAAAGACAAAGAGGCAAACACACAAGGGCCTTGAGCATCCCTCGAGTTTGTGGTCACCAGCTTGGGAGAGTTGAGAGTCACAGTGTTGGGCTCTGACCCAGATAGTCACTGGTCTGGGTGGAGAATTGGGCTGTATTGAGCAGTAGGCTTGAGTAGGAGGAATTTCTCAAAAAGTAAAACTGTTTGGGGGATTCTCCTGTGACAGCCCCTGGGCTTACTCCTCACCCAGTTGGGCAGCAATCCCGAGGTTGTGCAGAAGGCCCTGCGTTTCCCCATAGCACTGGGAAGGGTTCACACCCAAGCCTGCAGGACTCAGGCTCGCTGGCCCACCCCAGCCCACCTCAATGACCCCTAGGAAAAGAGCGCTATAAAGAAGACCTGGATCCCTGGCCTGGGGCACTGGGGAGAGATGCCAGACTAGCTCTTGGGACAGTGCTTGCAAGACTGGCTGAGTACACAAGAAAGGCCATACCAGTTAGCCCTCAGCCTGCTACAGCCAGCAAAACCAGAAAAAACGGTATGGCCTGTTTCAAATCAAGAGATTTGTTTGTTTGTTTGTTTTTTTGTTTGTTTGTTTAAGTAATCTTTTATTTTTTTAATTTTTATTATTGTTTTATCTTTCAAAACCTTTTTCCTCTCTTTCCTTCTTTGTTTTATTCCTCCTTTTCTTTCCAATTTTATCTCTTCTTCCTTCTTTCTCCTGCCTTTTTTTTTAAATACCCAAAAGTGAGACAAAAAACTTGGAACTGTGAAAGGACCAGAGTTTGACCCAAACAGGGGGCATCCCAACAGTTGAGACAGTGACACAAATTTCACTTTGCTATTGCACAGAAACTACAAACTACTGCATAGTTGTATTTTTCATTATTCTTACATCTTTTATTTTAATAGTATCTTTGTATTCCTCCTCTTTCAGTATAGTCTTCTTTGTCTTGGCTGGTTATATTGTATCATTTGACAGGTTTCCCCTGTTCTCTCTTCCACAGTGTATTGCTGCTAATTTACTATCCTTCACCTCACTTGTGTTCCTTTAGCACACTGCTCAAAGTTCTATACCCCCATTATCCAGATCACATACATTGTGTCCTATGATTGTTGCTCTAATATTATTGTAAATAATGGCTGTTCCATACAATTGTAAATACTTCACATCACCCCTCCCGGATCTTAGCCCACTTCACAGTTTCCTGAACTCTATTACTGTAGTGGTTAACTCTATTCTCTCACACACTACACCTATTTACTATCCTTTACTCTCACCTTACCTCAGAATCTCACCACTCCCACAACCTCACTGCTTTCTAGATCCAACTCACAATCCTTCCCTCCCCAACAAGAGTCTTATCTTCTTTCCATCCTTTCTTAAAAGTGCCTGGTTGGGTTGAAGATCACAGTTAACACTGTACATAGCCTAAACATCTCCTATCTCTTCTCTACCGGTTGCTACTGTAAATATCATAGAATACTCCCCTGCTGTCATAAACCATTCTGCCTTCCCCTCCAACTGATCACATAAAAAGAGAAAGTGAAAGCAGTGAACACCAGGATACCGACTGGAAGAGGAAGACTGCTAAAGGGACTGTTCTAAGGAAAGGAAGGAAAAGAGAGAGGCAGAGAGGAACACAGGTACAAAAATGGCCATGAATAAGTACCTATCAATAATAACCTTAAATGTAAATGGATTAAATGCTCCAGTCAAAATATACAGAATAGCTGAATGGATAAGAAAGCATGATCCATACACATGCTGCCTACAAGAGACCCACCTCAGAACAAAACAACTACACAGACTAAAAGTGAAGGGCTGTAAATAAATTTTCCAAGCAAACAGACAGGAAAAAAACAGGGTAGCAATACTCATATCAGAGAAAACAGACTTCATAAAAAGGGCCATAAAGAGAGACCCAGAAGGTCACTTCATAATACTCAAGAAAAGAATACACCAAGAAGACATAAACATTGTAAATATATATGTACCCAACATAGGAGCACCCAAATATATAAAGAAAATCTTAGAGGACTTCAAGAAAGATATTGACAGCAACACAATTATAGTGGGGGATTTTAACACCCCACTGTCAAAAATGGACAGATCTTCCAAACAAAATATCAATGAAGTTACTGTGGCATTGAACAATGCCCTAGATGAAATGGACTTAACTGATATATAGAGAGAGCCCTTTATCCCAAAGAAGCTAAATTCACATTATTTTCAAATACACATGGATCATATTCAAAGACAGACCACATGATAGGACACAAAACAAGCCTCGACAAATTTAAGAAAACTGAAATCATACCAAGCATTTCCTCCAACCACAAGGGACTGAAACCGGAAACCAACCCCAAAGGAAACAGCTCAAAACATTCAAAATCATGAACATTGAATAGCATGCTATTAAATAATGAACGGGACAAGAATGAAATTAGGGAAGAAATCAAAAAGTTTCTGGAAACAAATGAAAATGAGCTCACAACAACCCAAAACTTATGGGACAC